AATGAGCATTTCCCGGTTGCCGCGGGTTATTTCGAGTTATGCACAAGTGCGTCTGGCCTGGTCACGGGTGATGGGGTTTTGCGTCGCCAAAACAGGCTTGTATCTCTGTTTGGTTGTATAGATATCAGCTACAAGCAAGCAAACAAACAAAAAGCAGATAGCTTCTTAAATCTACTTCCTATCAATGCAAGAAAAGGAAGAATTTATCTGACAACCTTTGCTTAACATCCGGCAGTAAAACTACCAACACATTCCCTATAGCATAGTAGTACCTCCAGAAAAGGTGGTGTTTCCTTCTGGAGTTTATAGAGTGTGCACGTTAGTCAGCCCAGCACGTTTCCCAATCCTGTTGTTATCTCCCATCTGACCAGTGTGTTTTTGCAGGGTAGGTCAGGTAAGAGCAGGCGTCTGAAACGACATAGTGTCAAAAGGAGGGTCAGGACCGATGGTCCCCTCACTGCTTTCTTTAGCAGGAATTCATTACTTCTTGCTACCATTAGGCATATCATGTGTAATTGTTTCTGTGGAAACCTCTAACTAAAATTTGCAGAAACGCAAGTGTTCAAAATGCTAGTACAGCAAATAATGTTGCTTTAATGTAGTTGCTTTTATTCAAAAGAGGGAGGTTTGATTTTCGTAAAGTCTAAATGCCATTTAACGACTAACGCAAGTTAGAATTCTATAGAAAAAATAACATGCATTTTTAGCATGCACTACATTTGTGTGTTATTCAGTGTAAAACTTGCAGCATATTAGTGACATCAAGAATTATTCAAATGCTGGAAATGAGGGGACACACTTGAAAAACATAACTGCTACTCTGTTTGGTTTTTTTTTTTAATGTCTTTGCCCATATCAGGTGTTTAAAGCACCAATGCAGGCTCTGTGCCAATGTGAAAGCTCCCATTTCAGTTAGAAATTAGTTGGAACCTGTGATATTTTAATATATGTTGAAATAGTAGATAGTAATTTCTAACTCAGGTTTTATAAAAGGTTGTGATTTGATATATCTAGCCTACAGTTAAGTGGATTAAGCAGGTTATAAACAACAACATTCAGAAGGGGCAGGACAATGGACCCAGGAAGCCGTTGGGAATATGTGAAATACCCTCTTCATCTCCTGGCTAATGTCAGATGGTGATATTATTTCTGCTGGGACCACTGTATTTCTGTTTTTGTTTGCCTGACATAACCCTTATGTGTCTTCCATTGGACCTGGAAGGATCTGGGTGTTTTCGCCTCCCTTTAACTACGGTAAAAATTGAATGTTTGGCCCTTCTGCTGAGGGCTTAGAACCTTGCTGTACCCCTGCTCCTAGCACACGATGAGGGGAGACATTTCCTTGCTACCAGTCCCTCATGCACAAAGCAGGATACAGTCTAGCCTAATATTTGTTAATCCATAATAGCCAGCCTAAGTGCTGTATAGTGAAAAATATAATGTGTTTTTGTATGGATAAACCATGTCTGTTGCTGCAAATATTTGCTGTTGCAAACTTACTGCACAAGTGGGGGAGGGTTTGCCTGATTTGCTGCTGATTTGTATGATGAGTGACAGCTTTGGACAAAATCCAAATCCTACATTAATATTAATTTATTGTTGTAAATACATGCAGAACAAACAATAATCAGCAGCTAGCTCAACAACTGTAGTAAGCTGTCCACTCTAGCCATAGGATTCTTATTTTGAAGATGCCTGATAGACACTTGACATCATGTGTTGTTTAGAGAAAGGGAGTAAACTCTTTGCTGAGTTATGCTTATGTTAAGGAAAAAAAGTACAGAAAATTTATGGGCTTGAAAAGTGCTAGGAAAAAAATTAAGCGAGGCTCTTTAATAGCTGTTTAATGTTTTTTGTAACAGAAGAGGAGAGGCTGTCATTGGCAAAGATCTGAAAAAATATTCTGAGTACTAATTCTAGTTTGAAATAAGCAGAAGCATGTAGCATCAGGGTATTTTTTTATGGAACTATAACTAAGGGAAGTTAATAACTATATAACCTGTACACTTGGTGCGTTTACTTACTTCTATTAATTAAATGTACTTTGTATTGTGTGCCCCATTTATTACATTCTGTGTCATATTTGCTGTGGCTGCCGGGGAAGGCAATGAAGATGGGTGCTCATCTAACAGGTGCTCCACTCCCTTTGTTCTTTGTATACACATATTCAAATCACATAAGGCAGGGGACAGGATAGGGCCTGTTAACTCATTACTGATTTCCCTAGCAAATAAACCAGCTGCAGGTCCAAGCCCTGGCTTAGTGCTGAGGAGAAGGTGGCATTTGTGTGGGACAGGATGCTTTCATGGAGCCCCTTAGCCAACTTCTTTTGGGACTTAGAGTGCAGAATATATTTTCTACTTGTAGGTAAGATACACTATAAATTATATTTGATTGTCCTTGTGGAAATGGAAATTGATTTTATAAGATTTATCTTTATAAATTTAAAGATATTCCTGTTGTGTTCTCACATGTTTTGTTTCAGGAAAGTAGCCTAAAAGCTTTTAATCATTTAAATCAGATACTGGCTCCCTGTTTTATGAATGGAGCTCAAGTTTTAGCACCTGACAAAAATGAGTGCTATACATAATCTATATGTAAAATGTGGGCATTGATTAAATATATATAGTCACATTTATTGAGTACTATATACATTGTACATTCTTTTTAAAAGTAAGGCTGGAGAGGTTCTAAACCAAAGTTTATACAGAAGCTGTTACATACCGCTTTAAAAATTTGTTGAGACAGTCCTGATACATTATTTTTCATTTCATTATGATTAATTTATATATAATATTTAAATGTACTTAAAACACAATTAAACTTTTAGTCAAATGAAGAATGTTTCCCCAGTAATAGTGCTTTTGTTTGGTATCTGGGTGCAGTTTTCGTAAGTGTGAATTTGTTATCCATGCAGTGGATAAAAAGCAGATGTTCTATGCACTTTGACAAGAATGTCCTGTCAAATGTTAGAGAAACTTATTTCTACAAAGTACTGTAATTAACTTTTTCTATATTTAATTGGGTTTGTAAATGTCAACAGAGGAAATATATACCATTACAAGTGTAGTGCATCCTCTAATCTTTCATCTATAAGAAGAATTTTTCTATCTTCTTTGTGAACCTTATATAAAGTCATCTAGTTTCCTTGATTTTGAGCTAAATACTTTTTCAAGAGTTTTTGCTTCATAACAATTGCAGATTTATATGAAGATTATTCACTCTCTTCTTTAAAAATGAAAAATCTTTGGTTGACAAAAACACAGCGAATATATGTTTTCTTTACATTACAACCTTATTGGACATTTTTCATTAAAACCCTACTAGAGATATTGTCATGCAAACAGAGTACTTGAGAGTACATTTGTTCACCAGGAAGTCTCGTCTTATATCCTTACTCAGATATATATATTTTCTAGTAAGGGAAATGTGCTGCTCATACTTAATATCATGACAAGAACCAGGTGCATTGGAGACATGATGCAAAGCCCACTGAAGACATTGACCTCAGAAGCTAAAATTAAGTCCAGTAACAAAGCTCAGTAGAACTTTTTCTTGGGCAAAAATCCCAACCCAGGGAACAGGATGCCCCAGTTTTTCCTGATATAAATTGAGATACAGAAATCGCAGCTTCCCTGGTCCATTATATCTGGGATTTTTTTTCATAAATGAACATACTTGCAAAAAGTGAAAAAAATGCAAAAACTATTATCACTGATCTAGTGACATTTTACACTGAGTTCAGGGAGTTTGGAGAGCTGAAGAACTAAATGAACACTGGTGAAAAGCAGTTGAGAGTCTAAACTCACTTTGACAAGGAGATGTGCATGTTAAATTCAGAGAATGCTAAAACCTCACTAGGCAGGTTTCAGTTTATGCCATAAACTCAAAAGTTATGTCATAGTTTTTTATTTAAACTAAAACTGCAGCCCTTGTTTTATGTCAACAAGTCTGTTGTGCTTGCTAATACTGGTGATAGCAAAGTGAGATGGAAGCAAAGCACAGATCACTGAGCTCCAAGTGGAGGTCATTTTGGTACAGCCCTTATGGTCATTAAACAAAAACTAGTTTCTGAAATTACATTGTCTTGGAAAAATATATCATATTTGGAAGGCTGTAGGGATAGGAATAATTATATGGAATTTGTGCCTGATGAATATGAATTTAGTTTGGCACATTGGCTTGATTTTGCTATTAACATTAATTCAAGGATTAGTCAAAACGGTCTTCAGTTTAAATTTAAAATCAAGACTAGTCTAATACAAGAGAATCATAGAACCGTTTAGGTTGGAAAAGACCCTTAAGATCATCTAACACTGCCAATTTCACCATTCAACCTTGTATCTGATCAAAACGTCTACGTGTCTTCTAAGTACCCCCAAGGATAGTGGTGAGTCCACCTCTTCCCTGGGCAGCCCATTCCAATGCCTGAAAACACTTTCGGTGAAGAAGATAACCCTTACAATAAAGAATATTCCGGACTGCAGAAGGTATGGTCTCTGCAAAAACCAGAATTCTTCCATCAGTGCTCCTGTAAAACCCTTGCCTTCGACAGAGCACCATTTTCTAATAACTTGCCCCAGTCTCAGCCTGCCTTGTCCCTTGCCCTGCCAGCCGTGGAGAAGTTCCTGTGTGCTGGTGGCAGTTCACAAAATCATCCTAGCAGAGCCAGATTGAGCAACAAGCCACTCCTGAAGGGACACCAGGGGAAACATGGAGTTTCCGCCCTCACCACCAATGGTCTTGGCTAAAAGAATTTCCTTAACTGCACATCAAAATGTCTTTCCAAGCTGTTACACAGAGCCAATTTTCCCTGTGAATCAAGTGATGTTAATTTGCAGTTTCTATTCCCGCAGCTTTTAACTGCAGAGAGAGTAAGCTTTCCAGCCAAAATTCTCTTCTTCTTGCTCTAGTATGGTGTTACCTTTCATGCTGGTGGTCCCACTTACCCTGCTGCTTGCAAGACCTTTTGGGGTTTTGCTAATTTTCTGCACAAACAGATCTGTGAGAAATATTATTTGTTTTACATATTTTATGATTACATTGCAGCTGTTACTGGCTTCTTATCCAACAGCACAATCGCTTATTGATAGCTAAATAAACCCAGAAATTGAGCAGCATCATGTGTAAAGAATGAGGAAGGATATGGACAGATCTTTTAATTGGTCATTTACAGATCTCCCAACTCTCCCATTTACAGATCTCAAACAACTCTCTGTTTGAGAGATGTTTTTTACTTCATTCCAGTTGATATAAAAATTGAAATGTATTTGATATGTTATATAAAATAGATCTCCAACATTACAGATTCTACTGAGAAGTTACTCTCTTTTTCTGTTTTTTTTTTCAACTGGACAACAGCAATTTAAATCTGGTTTGTGCAGTAGGGTTGTCAGGGAATTAACCTCTGAGAAATGTTACACACATATTTTTTAGCAGTCTTTAATAGCACAGTCACATATTTTTCACACGTAGCTCCCTCTGTCCTCCCCCTACTACACACCACTTTCCAGGTAGAAATGTACTCTGTGTGCTTCAGGTGGGGATTTACTTTTTGGTTACAGGTATTTTTCAAGAATCACAGAATCCCAGGTTGGAAGGGACCTCAAGGATCATCTGGTCCAAAGAAAGATGATCAGTAGCAGAAAGAGAATAGATGGTGTATGGTGAAGGCATTGCATGTTGTCCTGGGTAGTGCATTCTCAGTCTCCAGTGTGCTCTTATGCAGTGTCAGATTACTTAAATCCCTTTTTTTACACGTCCTTACTTATGAGAGGTTGCCTTTTTTTTCCTAGGGTTATGTCTTAGCACTTGCAGTGTGCTTTTCAGCATTACTGAGCACTCAAAGCTGAGCGATTAAACCTGGAGTCAATAGGAATTGCATCTTGAACATACTAAAATATGTTTATATGTATTTTGGGAAATCCAGTCCTTAACATTTCAAAATGATCATCCAAAATAAGTGGGTATTTTTGCTGTTAATTTTCTCTGGGCTTAAATTCTTCACCTATAAAATCTCATCGATTATAATGGTGTTGTGAAATCAGTTCAATAATGTATATGCCTTACATCGTTGCTGTTCTTTTGAGTTCTGTGGAAAAGTTCATGTGAAAATCAATCACTCAGTCCAGAGACTAAACCTTTAATAATGTTCTCTAAATATGCACAGTGAAAAATTATTAAAAAAAACATACATGGGAAAGACAATGATTAACCAAGGAGTGGCCTTTTTGCACCATAATAGAGACAGAATGCTTGGAGAACAGAATTAATCATGTAGCTGAAAAATTTGCTTTTGTGGATATCAACATCAATTCTGCTAATTTCCTAAGACCAGAATACTTGACTTTTGCAGGCTTTTCATAAGTTTAGTCTTGCAGATACTGAGCTGTCATCAATAATAACTATATATAATTATATCAAACAGTCATGGAAGTTCTGCTTGTCACATTTTCAGTCAGTTTCTCAATATAGCTGGCAAAGCAACTAAGAAGTTGCTCTGTAGCTGAACCAACCTAGAAAAAATTCCTAAAAATTGAGTGTGCAATCCAAGACTATTAGAGAGTGTAAGACCTAGGAATTTGAAATATTTTAAAGGGAAAATATTTTATACATTAATGTAAATGTACATTTTCTCATTTTTCTCAAACTTTCAACAGTAAAAGGTCCTTCCTTTGGTTTTCTTTATATTTTGAAGCTGCAACTAGACCCAACTTCACCAAGGTCAATGAGCATTTGCCTCTTTCTTACTTGATTATCTGAGTTATAACCGTACAAAAAAGTGTAAGTTTTAACATTGAGAGTTTTTTCATTATGAGAATTTCTCATTCAAGTTTTCCAGGTTTTCCAGTTGTGGTTTGGGTTTGTTTATTTGTTTGTTCTTTCATTTTTATGCAGGTATTTGTTCTGCCTTAAAGTTGACAGTACCATCTCATACCATCCATGGTATTGAGGGACAGCCACTTCATCTTACTGTTGACTACAATTTCAATGCTACAGCTTCTGAAATCCAGATAATTTGGCTTTTTGAGAGGCCTCAAAGTAATCCAAAATACTTGCTTGGCTCTGTAAATCAAACAGTAGTTCCAGACTTGGAATACCAGCACAAGTTTACCCTTGTACCACCAAATGCATCTTTGATGATCAATCCATTGCATATCAGCGATGAGGGCAATTATATTGTAAAGGTCAATGTCCGTGGAAATGGGACAATAGCTGCAAGTCAAAAGATTCAAGTAGCTGTTGATGGTAAGTTAGTAAGAGATGGTATCTTCATTTTGAAAATAGAATTGCAAAAGTTTTGAAGTACTGGTTCTTGGTATCCAGTTACAATAGTGTATCGTTTAATGCAACCATACATTAAATAAATTCTAACAAGTTATGTTGTTTTGTACTGCTACTGAAGGGAATGATAAAATATGTCATCTTTAAACAAAATTAATATATTGACTGATGTTTCTGTATCATAAGTAAAAAAACTGAAGAGGTAGAATTATCTAAGAGAATGACAAGAGGCTACTGTAATTTATGGATTACACAGAGAGAGCCCTGTAACTGTTGGGCTTGGAAGAATGAGATGAATGACATCTTGAGGTGACAGAGTTGTAGCTGCCATTTAACTGACAAACCCATCCCAGTTTGCAGCCATCCTCACGACTGGATCACCCAGTGGTGCCCAGTGTGGGCAAAGCTGTGGGCAGTCATACTGAGAAGTCATACATCGTGGGCAGTGTTATGCTTTGTGCTCTTTTCATTTCTGTGGCCTCAGTGATTTGTATGTGAGGCAAGAGCTGGAGGCTGTGGTATACCTCACTGCAGCCTTTATCTTATTACCAGTAACCTAAACAGTCTGGTTTTATTCAAGTACTGTAACAATTCTTGCAGTCACCCGCTGAGAGTATGGCTTTCTTTTTTAACCTTTAACCACATTTAATAAATAAAATTTGGAGTATGAGTAATTTCCAGTGAGAATGATGACTGCTATTTGAATCATCTTGACAATGAAGACTGTGATATAGTGGCTTGTCACTTTAACAACTCCTATCTCTTTATTTTACAGTTCCAGTCACAAAGCCAACTGTACATACTGAACCATCTTCAGGGGTAGTGGAATATGTAGGAAATATTACCCTAAAATGTATTCTGGGTAAAGGTACAAGGGTAACTTACCAGTGGATGAAAAATGGGAAGCGTCTCCATGCTGGCCCTAATTATACCTTTTCATCAAACAATGCTACACTTCTAATTGTTCCTGTTGTAAAAGAAGACATTGGGAATTACAGCTGTCTAGTATCTAACCCTGTCAGTGCAATGGAAAGTGAGATAATTGCACCAACCATATATTGTGAGTATATGAAATATTCATTACTACCTTAGTATGAATGATCTGGCTGGAAAGAGTGCCTCTAACTATGGAAATGGGCAGAAAACAGTTGAGTCAACATTATATGTGAGTTTGCATTCCAAATGAGCTTGTTTGTAATAGCTCTAACTGACGACAGGATAATCAAGTTACTCAGTGTTATGTGGTTGTGAAGCTCAGTCTCAACTGCAGAATTCAAATAAGAATTCCATAGACATCTTGAGATCTGGAGGTGATGGGACTTAAAGGAAAAAAAAATAATTAGATGGTTACACATGTAAATATTGTTAAAAATGGAGGTGCCAAACAGTGTCAAAAAGCTAAGCACAGAAAGTACCAGGCTGAAGGACTGGTGTTGGTCGGTTTCTTCAAGATCATTTGGAGTCCAGTCCTGTTTAATACTTCCAGTAATGGCACCAGCATAAAGATTGGGAATATCTCAATGAAGTTAATCTGTGACATTAAATAGGAGGACTGAATAACTAAAACACAGTAGTAGAACTGGTACGAAATTTGCTAGTAAAAACTAAATGGGCACGGCCTTTTAGGGAATAAAAAACATGAACTTCTGCTGGTGAGATTGAGATCTATTGGGAAATAATCAAGACAGTGAGCCTGGATGATTGAGCTATCACAAGATTTTTGTGAACTAGCAGTGTGATTCATGCATGAGAAAGACATATATAATTCTACGGTGATGGACAAAGGATTTCCAACAAGGAAACAATAGAATACTAATGGCACATAGAAAGTCAGCCCCCATGTAGAATGCTGTGTGCAGTCTCTGCAGCTCCTAGAGCACTGATCTCAAACTGGAAAGAAACAGAAAATAAAGAAATGGGGAAGAGATCCAGAGAACTGTCAGGCTTAGCAAAACTAGAGCTGAAGAGACTGTTTGCTTTCCACATCAAACGGGAAACAGGAGGGAGAAAGAAGAGTTGCATAAAGACCAGTGTTACCAGAAGAATAAACCATAAGGTAGCCATATATTTTGACTGGAAATGGAGGCACCCGAGAAACTAACTGTGAACATAGATTGAGTTCATGAATTAATTTAATCAGTATTCAACAATTTGTAGTATAAATCTTAGAATGGGCACTCATTTTTCCCTGTGCGTCCAGGATTTGCAAGTAGCACATGCTACACATGACCTCTACTCATGTCCTCAGGGGCTGAACTGTCATTCTCAGTGGAGAGCTGAAATCAGACAGGTCAGGACCTACTTTGCCACCAATCCTGTTCAGATATAACCAGTTTAACAAATGGCAGAGTGGATGGCACAGTGCAAGGTCTGGAACAGGATTCCTGTCCAGCCAAGTGTTAGTGCTCACTCTTGCTTTTACCAAACTCTGTCATCCGGCAACTGGTAGGCAGCATATGCCCTAGACCTCTTACTGTCATATTTTTCTTCTCCTCCTTTCACCTCTTTCATTCTTCTACTTATTTCTTTTTAATTATAACTTGGAAGAATTAGATAAGGGTGTGACTTGCACCTAAAGCGTGCGTCCGGGATCTCTACACTGCACTGTACAGAAAAAGATTGCCTAAAGTAGCAAAGATTAACAAGGACATTGTTATATATGAGCTGATTACTAATGCAGACCTTATAAAATTGACAGCAATGCAGACATGAAGATGAAGAAGCTGCTGCAAAGAGTCCTGAACAGGGCAGATGTGAATTGAGCTTCTGTCTCATTAAACAGAGGAATCATGCTAAAACACTCTACAAGGAAATAGCTCCAGCACCATGGGAGTTTTAATTTATCATTACCGTAATTTAAAAAAAACCCCAACATTTCTTCCTCAAGGTAGCACATTTTTAAATGCCTGTTTTTGTACAGTCAGAATCTCAGCTCACTTAAGTGTTTAAAGTGCTAAGTGTGAGAGATGAAGGTTTATGAATGCAGTGCCTCTATTGCTTTTTTCATTTTAATGAGCTGTGAATGGGCCTTATACACCTCTTTTTTCAAAGAATACTTACACAAGTAAGTATCCAGCCCAACAGCCTTCTTTCAATGCAATAAAATCAGGTCAAGCTAGAAAAATATCTGCCACTCTTGCTGGTGTTCAGACTGCTCTTTTTGTTTGTGGCACAGCCTGCACGGCATTTGCATTTCTGACCTGTTGCACACAGGATCAGCTCCAGAGCACTGATCACACTGATGGGTGTCCGGGACACTTGCACTGACCTTCAGTCTCAGCCCTAGTACTGCTTCCTTCCTTCTTCCTCACTCAACTACATCACAGCAAATTTGAAAAATCTTCCCAAGCTCTAAACTGGAAACCTATTTTTGACCTATTGTTTATCAGAATTTTAAAATGTCAAAGTTACTTCAATGTCCACTTTTCTAGAACATTTTGCTGGTTGAGTGGTTGGGATATGCAGCTCAAAAGATTAGTATATATCAAAAACTTTGAGATTCAGTTTTTCTCCATATGTGTAAATAGCATTATAAGTATTTGCATTTTCAGAATGTCCTTTGTAATTCATCAGAACTGAGGGTTTGCTTTGTGCGTAATGTAAGATCTGAAAAAAAATGTTAATGCAATGCTGAAAGACTGCAATACATTTGCTGCTGTCTGTATCCGAGTCAGTGATGGGGATTGAGGTCTTATTTCCTGAGCTGTATGAAGTCACTTATTTTGGTTCAACCTCTGCCTGCAGAGGTAGTTTGTCTCCCAGCTCCCAGTTGTCAATAACAATCCAGAACAGGCCCTGGGATCTCTCCCTGTGCCATATGTCATTGCTGCGGGGGAGTCACTGGAGGTGATAAAGAAAAGGTCACTCACGGTAAATACCTGCCATCTGCTTGGAAACTGTAACAGTCTCATGGTGATAGGAGCAATTGGAAATATTCCCATAGAGCAGTAAATTGTTACTCAGAAAGGATGATTTATTATTTTACAAGTCATTTAGTTAACTGTTTTTACTGAGACAAAAGGCATGTTGAAAACAATACTGGAAAGGAGACATAGAGCTGAGGGACCCATGAAGGCTGTCACCGTGGTTTTTTACTAAGTATCAAATTAGGTTTTTATTTCATTTCTTAATAGTATTATTCTGCTTCTCCATTAGCTATGATGATAATGCACCCCTGAACATGGCTACTGTAGTAGTCTGACCCAGAAACTAATGATTTCAAGAGTGGAAAAAGCTGTTGTCCTAGAGGCTGCAGCAGAAACTGTTGTACTGTATTCACGGAGTTGAACTTGACAAGCTAAGTGGGATTTTCTTCCTTGGGACTTCCCAAAGCTGGAATATATTTACTATTAGAGCAGAGATGGTTAATTACCTGCTTTTCAGGATCATCCTTGAAGCTGTGTCAGCTGTCAGCTACCTCGTGTTTAGGGATCTCGGTGAGGCAAAAAACTGAGCCAGGTGAAGCAGAAGGGTTACCCACTCCTTGTGTTGACTTCAGCTAGGAATGCCACTTTTCAGATTTTGCCAAGATTTGACTGTTTCTTAAGGAAACCTCTCTCTATTTTTTTCAAACATACTTCCCCAGCCAGTGTGCATCAATGTTTTTATAATGGTTTCTTTCAATTTGCAGCTTTCATAAAAAAGTGTAGTCATGTTGTCAGTGTTACCTTTCTATGCTGCACTGTTACTGATAAAACAGTATCAGAACTCAGTTCTGATTCTTTTGCAAATGTGGCAAATCACCCACCAGTCAGCTATTCTTACCATTAGTCTCTGTTTACACATATCAAAGGTTATATTATCAGTAAAAATAAAAGCTAATTCTAAGAAAGGAAAATTGGATAGGAAGAAGCAACAAATTGCTCTGAAAAGTAAAAAAGTATGTTCCTGCCTATAAATAGTGTGTGAAAGTCTTTACTTTCATTTATGAAAAAGATCAGTACATCCCTTATCCCTTCCCATCTGAAAAAGGGGGGAAGTAAACACCTGTAAAAGGCGAGCCCCTGAAAGAAGCTGTTGTTCTGGGATAGGTCTGTGCTTCAGAGAAGTGTTCATTACAGGGTTCATTACAGTGGCCCTTGGAGACAATAAAGCAAGTGACTCAGGAATTGCAGAGAAGAAGCAGCCCAGCATCTAGAGTTTAAAAAAATGCCTTTATTCTTCAAAGTGGCCCCTGCAATCTAGGTGGGAGCAGCACTAATTCATGCTAAAGTGAGTCTGTATTTTATTTCCCAAGTAAATATTTTGCATGATGTTGGCCATTCCTTAAAATGAGGCTGCAAAAAGCTTGCCACTAGGAAATAAATACAGAAAATAAAAAGCTTGACAAGTACATGTTGTGAAATGTGGACATTTGGTTAAAAGTGGACTAAACTGAAGTCATGTATGGTAGGCATTCTCTTGTCTAAGTCTTCACAAACAGAAAAAACAGAGGCATACCAAAAAATGGCCTGTTTTGTGCTGCAGGTGGCCTGTGTGTTCTTAAAGAATAAATGAGTCATAAAAAAAGACAGATGGTAAATAGAAGTGTACGTTAGAGGAAGCTCTAACATCGGCCTGCATTTCCTGGTGAGAAGTAGAGTCTGAAATGTACCAGTGTGCAGCTTCATGCAGCAGGGAATTTCACATTCAAACCCAGCTACATTATCTTAATTCTTCAGACAACCATAGGAAGGTATAAATATTACTTGATTGCATTGTCTACAGTGGACACAGTACTGTCCCCATTTTTTGCTATACCATTGTATGTGAGGCACTTGTCAGCAGCTTTACTGAACTTCAGGGATCCTACCAAAAAGATATTCTTGGTGTTTTCTTCTTTTGGCTCTGTCAATATTAAGTCTGTGCATTTTTGATCATTCACATAAGTCCTTAGGGAATTAACAACAATAAAATTATTAGTTTGTGGGGGTTTTTAACTGAAAAAATTATTTAATAAGGCACATTTTAAGTATTATATTCTCTACATTAATTTCTATACTTTCAAAACTTGAAAATCATTTTAACATATAAAGATATAAAAGCCCCATGATCTGAAATGATCTAATAAAAATAACATGGGAAATATTCCTATAATATTTAAATATATTGTTTCCCTTCTCATTTTCCTATGAAGATTATCCTAGAAATACCTAGCTGCTCAATTTTTTCAGTAATGAACACATGACTATTGGACAATATATGTCTTTTCTAATTATATTCAGAAACACAGTCTTCTTTCAGCACAAGGACTTACTCTTGAAAAAAAATCTTAATTGTTGGAATAGTATAAGCCTACTAAAGTGGGGGAAGGTTAAAGTTTATTCTAGCAGTCATTTATGGAAAACTTTTTCTGAAGTTATCTAAGACCCACTCCACTTTATATTATACCTGTAGAATAGCTCCCTAAATAATTATTATGCTGCTAAATATTACAATTAATGTTTATATACTCCAAGGCTAATTTATTCACTTTTACATTTACAGAGAAATTACTTATGCCAGTAAATTTGGCATTGAAGTAGAAATCAAATATGCCCCTGAAGAAGATATACTCCTTTACTTCATAGCTTTTCCAACTGATTTCAGTTTTCATTCTTTTTATCATACTGATCAATGCATAGACCTGTGCCTTTTCCTTAAACAGCAAATAAACCAATATCGAGTGGATGTAGTTTGAGCTAAACCTGGTACAGATCCAGTTATTGAACTGAAAGCTAGACTAACCTTTAGAATGGATTCTAGGTAAGGCTAGTCTAACTTAAAAATTTTAAGTTTAGAGATAGGCTCCTGTTTAAAGTTTAATTATATACTTTGATTTTCATTTTCTCACTGTGTTTTCCTTTTCTTTTTTTCAATGCAGATGGACCTTATGGTCTTAGAGTTAAGTCAGATAAAGGTCTGAATATAGGGGCAGTGTTTACAGTTGACATGGGAGAAGTTATACTGTTTGACTGTTCAGCAGATTCAAATCCACCAAATACTTATTCGTGGATTCGAAGGGATGACAATACCACTCATGTAATCAAATATGGACCCCACCTGGAAGTTGTATCTGATAAAGTGGCCCAGAAGACAATAGATTACATGTGCCGTGCTTTCAACAACATGACTGGAAAACGAGATGAAACTCACTTCACAGTAGTGGTTACTTCTGTAGGTAAGAAATTAATGTCATTGCTGTAACTGTAATATCTGATTGGAGTGTCAGCCACATAGAAAGGGATAATTCTTAGAGTATGTATCAGAATTGAGGTCTGGCTAACAATGCAGTAAAGGGCCTTTTGGCCATTCAAGGTTTGAGATGCAGGGTTTACTCGCTGTGTGACACAACTTCGAACAAGGCCCACTAAGACTGAAGTTTTGTGGGGTTTTATTACGATGTTCATAAAAATTATTTCACTGTCATTGTTGTGAATCTCTGGATTGACTGCTAGGTTCTGTTCTCCTACACTATAACCTCAGCTCCTCTATCAGATTGTGTTAAGGAGCAACAAAGCAGTTTTTCAGAAAATCTCCAGAAGCATACAGGGAAGAACAAGATATTGAGGAAGTGTGATATCTCTTATTAGTACAGATGGATACAAGTATTTTCAGATAAAGGAGTGTATGTTATTAATGTTCAACAAGATAGAATAGATTGCCTTTAGAAAATTTAACAAAGCAATTTCTCTTGTGCAGAACAAAGAGCTCAGCCATTTGTTAGTCAGATAAACAAGGAGAGCAGATGTCCATCATTCAGGATGATTTATTGATTCATCACAAATCCATGGCTTTCAGTATGCTGGAAGGAAGATGCGTTGCAATTTTACAATGAAAATACTGCACTTGAAAACTAAACTTTGTGGTTAGTGGTGAAAGCAAATGCAATAAGAGCTGTGTCAATAGAAATAAACATGACATTTCTCCAGGAAGTTTGTGTAAGCTATGATATATATGTGATGTTCATCAATATGTGTTAAGAAGTGTAAGTTGCACTTGAAATAATAAATTTCCTAATTACAAATATTTTACTTTAATACGTATTATTAAAACATTTTATCCTGTGTATTTAAAAATGTAAAAAGGCCATTTTCCCCCTCTGTAACCATATTCTTTTTGATGAGTGTTTATCCAGATAGCACTAAATCCAGATGTCAAGCCCACACTTTGCAATGCAGCACTGACTGATTCCAAGAGGTATGAATTCACGCTCAAGGCTAAATCTCAGAGATGCTGCTCAGGCTAAATTCTGGTTGTAACTGAATAAACATATCAAGCAAAGACTGTGAAAGTTGCTCCATATTCCTTTTCCCTATCCCCATAATCTAGATATGGAGCCTGGACTATGCCTTTCAAAATACCAGAAACCCCATTTTCAGCAGCAACAGGAAGTCTGATGTTTCAGAAGACCTTACACAACTTCCCAACTAAAGGATAGAAACTCACCTATATGGTGCTATAAACAGCTGCCTAATTAATACTAAAAATGATCATCAAAAAAAAAAGCATCAAGCACTGTTAAATAATTGCATCAGTAAGTTACAATTATATCAACAATTGCACTAAGCTTTTACCCAGTTTTAACCAGATTTCAAAATAAGAGGAGGTATCTCATTATGTACACAAGCCATTGCTCAGTTCTCAAACTGAGTCAACCTGAGTGTGTTAAATGCATGCAGAGCATGTCTTTGTTTTCTGCACTGGTATGATTATTGAATCTAAATTTGAAATAATTAATTCTAAAGGACAATTTTAAGAACTCATCTGATTTTCCAGCATTTGGCCTTTTTTTCCCCTAAGGAAAGCAGTACATTGAAGGACTATGAAAAAATTTGGTGAAATTGGAGTGATTTATTTTCCCTTATCTTCAGGACACATCTAGTTCTAAATCCTCATATTTAATCTTCATGATAACCACTGCACATGCAGCCAGCACAATGACAGTGTACAATAGAGATGTAAGTAGATGTAAGCAACTCTAGCTCTCTGCACAGGAGTTCATCAAGTACAGGAAATACATCCAGCTAAATAATACACATTTGAATTGTACTTATAAAGCTGGCACTGACAAATATGCACCATTAATTTACATATACAGATTGTGACATGGCCATCAATTATGAGAATTCTGCGCAGTTCAGAGCAAAGGCGGAGATTAAGGGTGCACAAGCAACTATGTCTGGCACTTCCTATCACGTTCCTGTCCTTCCAAAATTCACTGCAAATGTTTTCCATGTGCTTTTGCATATGTAATTTTAGGCAATTTGTATTTGTGTTGTATCAGTAAATCCTGCTGGCAAACTGCTGCTAATGCATATCCCAGCAAAAGATCTGAGCAAGGGAAAGAAATATTTTAGATATATTTAGACATGAATTCAAACAAACATAATTTATTGGGTTTTGATGGGGTTTGATAAACAATCAGACCGTCAGTGATCTGAAAATCTTGATAAAAAGTATAATGGTTCTTTTATCCCCTCCTACTCTACAACTCCTACCACTTAGAGGATTTCCCTCCCATCTAACACAACCTGCTCATTTGTCACCCAGTTTCTGGGTAGTTCAGTGTCTCTATGCCTAAAGTTAGAATACAATCCTACTTTTTGTGATGCTGTGATTTGTGGATTATATTAACTAACCTTCATTTAACTCTAGGTACCAACCTTCTTCAGGACTTGTTTTTGATATGCATATCATTGCTTTCTTAGGTGAAGATTTGTGGAGAAAAGTAAATATTACCAATTCACAAGAACCCAAATTTTGTACCTGTTTTGTATCTCTATGCAGCTTTACTAGCTTCAAAGTAATTTCAAAAGATGTATTTTTCAGTGTCATTGTAGCACATTATAGAGAACAAGAAACTAAATACAGTATTCATCTTCTTTGTCACAGGGTTGGAAAAGCTGGCCCAGAAGGGAAAATCTTTATCTTCACTTGCAGTAATAACAGGAATTTCGTTATTTTTGATCCTAGCTATGACTTTTTTATTCCTATGGAAAAGATATCAGCCACATAAAGGTATGTAAATGTTAGGCACAGTCCAGTTGTTCTTTTGAATCGTCAGAGCAAAAGGAATAATTTTTTTTCTTCTTCTTTTCAGTGATACAACAGAAGCTGCAAAGCAGGTACAAAAATAAATCATTCTTAGGTCTTGAAGTCCTTTCTATCAAGAGAATTGTATTTTATCATATTAATTTTCTTTCCTTGGCTTGTGACGTCACACTGAGAAACATGTTTATGTTTTCTAGGCCAGAGGCCGATTACAGAAAGGCACAGGCATTTTCAGGTAATGCTAATAAAAGAAATATGAGCATAAGGTCAAAATCCTTTCCTGAAAAAAAAATCTCCACATAAAAAAGAAAGAAGACAAGGAAGGGAAGTGTGTTTTTAACTTGAGTTGCACACCTCTATGTTAGCTTAGGACCAAAATGACAAGTCAGCATAGATTTAACTCATGCCTAGAGTTCACAGCAGTATGTACCCCGTTGGCTTGAATTCTAGCTGTTAATCCCAGTATTTTGAGGTTAGAGTCATCTGTATCCCACTGCTCTCACCATATGACATAAATTATTGTCATTCTGGGATAGCAGTAAGAGGGGATACACCATGGGAGGATCACAATTACAGATGTTCATGGCACCAATTGTTACAAAATCATGAGATAATAACATGATATTACAGTGTATATATTTAACCTTCTGCCATATTCTGTACTACCTTTCTCTCTGTCATCAGGACCCAGAGTGGTTTTTTTCACTTTCTCTTTTCCCTCCACAATCCTTCCCACATGATCCTGGGCAGGATATGGAGACCAGCCATCCTTTGGAAGGGTAGCACTTTTATTCCCATCCCTTTCTACCAGAGTGTCAGAGCAGACTGTAAACTGCTACATGCATGAGAATAGGGAACTATACAAATCTTAGGAAGGTAAGAATTTCACTTGAGCACAGAGAGCCCTTCACCCAAACAAGTGATATCAGAGGACAGGATCTCAGCATTGTTGTTGGTGCTGCAGTCTTTGCTGTGGAGTGATGCCCAAGAGACAGCTGAGAGTCTCCAATGTCCTGGACAGTGGGAGGGTAGAGAAAGAGACTAACTACGCCTAACTAGCAGCTGTTAACTACATCTAAATACAAGCTGTACCTGGCATCCCAAATAATAATTTGGCACCTATTAGTATCATGTTTCCTTTTATTATTGTCAGCATTGTAAAAGATTCAGGTGGTAGTGCCTCACTACAGTGTAGATGTGCAGAGTTTATGGATTGGGCCTCTTTTCTATGGGAAATGAAAGTAAATTTGTCACTTTAGCCTTCCAGCAAAGACAGTACCAATGGTTCTACCAAAACTAAGGTTAGCAAGATGCCCCTCACTTGGTCCAAGATGTTGGAGATCACCAAGCACTGTGCACACCAGCTGTGCAGCTGCCCTTCCTCAGTCTACACCAGTTTAAGAGCTTGGCAGGGAAGTAGTTTAAATCAGATCACATAAACAGTATTCAGATGTTTTAAAAATTAGGCCAAAATACTTTGCCAACCATTATTTTCCAGGTTCATATTACATCTTGATCCTTTTTTTTCATGTTTGTCTGTTCTAACTTTAGGACATGAAAGTGCTTCAGATGATTTTGGGATATATGAGTTTGTCGCTTTTCCTGATCTTGCCAGTGGTTCTAGGGTATGTGCTTTTATATCATAAGCAGATGGTTCCTCATCTATTTCTTAAGGTGTGCTAAATATCTGTACTAGAATCCTTCCATAGGTTTACTTCTTGTTGCTTTTTACAGATGTCTGTATGACACTATATTCATGGCTATTGTTTACCCAGTATTTACTCTTTCTTTACTGCATTACTAGTTCAGTACTTTGTATCAGCATGGTGCAGTAAGGAATAACCAAGCTCTAAAGACAGGAATCTCCATTCAACTACCCTATATTAAAAGAATATTAGTAGTGTTAGGTAACACTGAACCACTTGTGTCACACAAGTAACTATTGTGATGCCATTTTGTCCCTTGACCCTAATATTGCTGCTCATGCAAAATGCAACTCTGTCAGTGCAGAAAAGTCTCAGGGAGGTATTTAAAATTTTCATTGTAAAAAAATATGTAAGCCAAATCTCAACTGTATTTCACAAAAACCTATTTGTTTAGCTTCATGTATTGTAGAGCAGGACAAGCAAAGGAATTTTGCTAGCAGAAAAAAATCCTACTGCATTTGCTGCTTCTATGCATTGTGTCTTTGCTGAGATTACTATATAGTAGTTGGAGATGATTCTGAATGTTGTTTAAAAGGACCAAGAAAAAATCAGAAACAGGACCACAAAATTTAGGGACAACAGAGTGAAATTGGGAGGAAGCGGAAGAGCGACTTCCCCATGCTAGAGAAAATTTCTGGCAATAGAATGTTGTACCTTTTGAGAGTATCAATATGTTCAGGTAAGGGAGAGCTCTCAAAGCATGGTTACAGGGTCACATTGTCACACCTATTTTGTTATTATGATTAGTACTCACAATACATGATGTATTAGGAAAAAACCAGTCATAGACTAATAAATTCTCTGATGGAGTTGGATGATTGAAATATACATTTATAGGGCTAGAGTGCTATCATAAATGTTAGTGGAGAGGACAGACTTTTACAGCAGCAGAGATAAAAGGCTCTTAGAAAACAGAGGAACTGAACTGTATCTGTGACAGTTTGTGACAATGAGAGGCTTATTAATTTAGAGATCAGGCCCTAAATGATTACAGCCTTCAGTACACTGTGATATTATACTGAAGAGGGTATATTTAGATTATGTATTAGGAATAAATTATGTACTGTGAGGGTGGTGAGGCATTGGAACAGGTTGCCTCAGTTGTGAATGTCCCATAACTGGAAGTGTTCAAAGTCAGGTTGGACTTTGAGCAACCTGGTCTAGTGAAAGATGTCCCTGCCCATGGCAGGAGAGGGGTTGCAGGTAGATGATCTTTAAGGTCCCTTCCAACCCAAACCTTCTATGATTCTATATCCCTTAGGCTGATCATATCACAATTCTGCAAGAATCAGGGCCTCGGCAGGTCAGAAGGGAGAGACTAGTGACAAGGACAACAGAATGGATGTACAAGCAAAGAAATCTATAATAATTTTCAGTAAAATTTCAAGGAGAAACTCCTCTGGTTTATGTTCAGTTACTCAGATTTGTAGTATTGCAGATAAAGTCGGCATTTGATCCACTCATTCACTGATTTGATCCGCTGTCAGCCTGACCTCAATGCCTGGCAAGGTTATGGAGCAGATCATCCTCAGTGCAATCACACGGCACCTACAGGATGGACAAGGGATCAGACCCAGCCAACACGGGTTTACGAAGGGCAGGTCCTGTCTGACCAACCTGATCTCCTTTTATGATCAGGTGACCCGCCTGGTAGATGAGGGGAAGGCTGTGGATGTTGTCTACATGGCCTTCAGCAAAGCCTTTGACACCATCTCCCACAGCATACTCCTGAAAAAACTGGCAGCCCAGGGCTTGGATAGGGGCACTCTGTGCTGGGGTAGGAACTGGCTGGAGGGCCGGGCCCAGAGAGTGGTGGGGAACAGTGCTGCATCCAGTTGGCACCCGGTCACTGTGGTGACCCCAGGGATCAGTGTTGGACCCAGTTTTATTTAATATCTTTATCGATGATTTAGATGAAGAGATTGAGTCCACCATGAGCAAATTTGCAGATGACACTGAGTTGGGGGGGAGTGTCGATCA